TTATGCCCTTATAAAAGTGCCAACTGATTAGAATTTTTTATCTCAGCTAATAATATGAAAATTAGCGATGTAACCACTTTATCGATAAAAATTTTTTTTCATATTTAAAAAATAATGTACATTCAAAAAATTTAATTCACTAAGCCCATGGATATATAAATGAAAGGCGGGTAAAACTTGAATAAAACCAACTAATCAGCTACTGAATATAATACAGTGTTGCACGATTTTTAATAAATGTATTTATTCATTATAAGACAGTACCAAGAATCGTGATTCAAGAATTGGTAAATATTTCTTTTCTTTGATATTTCATGATTATCACTGATGTTAAGTTCCAAGTTGACCCGCAAGGATTTGTCTTCGTAAGATTATTCTTTTATTCGGGATTATTCCTTGTAGCTTGATGCCAGTCGACAACACCGATCTTCTTGTGATCCGGATCTACATCATTGCTCCATCTCAGGAGTCTCTTGGTCTATGTTTTCGTCCAGGTTCCTCGAGTTTCGTCAGTTGAATACGTCATATACGTTAGCTTTAAGTTGTTTTGGCTACATGTTATGCCCACCACTGTCTCGTTTATTGGGCACTATTTTCTGAGAATTTTGTATTTGCGTCTCACACTAGAACATTAAAACTGGAAGTATGAAGGTTCTGTATATCTTTATTTTTCTTGGTGGGCGCTGGAAGCTATTTAATTAGTAAGTTATATTTCAGAACATTATTTTTTGGTGTATCTCCTCCAATATTATGTTTTTTGAGTTTATCACTCTTCCCCGATAAGAAATTTGTTGTTGTTGTTTTTGATAAATATTGTATTCTGCATATTTTATATATTTTTTTAATCGTAATGTGAAAAAGGAGGTATGCCAGCTCATCCGTATATGTCAGTTCTCTCTGCTAGATTCTTGAGAGTAGCTATTTTGGATTTTTATTTTTACATGTAATTTTTCATTGTTGATACTTTCTTGACATGAATTGCTATTTATATTTGTATACTTCAAAGAGGATAAGTTAGAAGATTTTTTTTCGGTGCCATATTAGGTCCCCTTAAAGTTGGCAATTATAATGAAGAGTTATTCACGGTCTTCAAATACTTGAAATAGTGGTTTTGTTTTGGACCCCCACTTTATCTATCTTCCGCCATAAACTGAAGGATTTTGTATGTCTTCTTTAAGAGCATGCCTAAGTTGAGGATAGGTTTTGCAAATTTGCTTTTCAGTATGTGTTGCCAAATCTGGTGTACAAAGTGTCTTATTTTGTAAGTGACTGTTTTATCCTTCACTCATTTAAATTTTATAATTTTCATTTCAGGTTTTTCGGAATTATGTGTAGTAGTTTATTACTATCTATATTTTTGCATGGTATTATAGAAATTTACTATATTGTTTAGAAGAACGTTCGAAATGACGAGAATAGTTGTTTCTATTTTTTATTGTATCCTTATTATATTTCGAGATCTTATTGTATTATTATTGTTCTTAGGTATCGCCATATGAATTACCTTTTATTTGGCGACTTAGTTGGTATAATATCTGGTCTATTATTTAGCACTGGTTGGTCTATGAGCTCCATGAACTCTCATATTACTTGTAATTGTTATTTTCAAGCATAACATCAGTGACATATTTATAATGGGGTAGGTGTTTGACTTGAAGAAGTTTCAGCTTTTTAGCTATCTTTTGATAAAGGTTATTTCCTACTGAGTCATGCATTTCCTTCAATTGCTTCTGAAAATAACTTCTGAATGAACTGTAAATCGGTTCTCATTTGCTTATGGTCAATTTTTCGCGCTTGTTTTACTTCGAAATATTTTTACATACCGTTTTTGCTAATTGCCTTTATATTTTGGCAAGCTAAATATCTCCTCTGACTATATTTAAAATGTAACATTTATTTTGGCTGAAGTGCATATACTAATAACATTTAAGAAAGAAAGAAAATAGTTTTTAAACTCTGATCAAGGTAGTTTTGGTGAAAACTATTAATTTCAAATCATCCATATATGAAAGATGATAGCTTCTATAGTGATATTATTTTTGATGCTAAAACCACAGTCAGTGGCGTTCACTAGATGAGACAGAGGGTTCCACGCTAGACAGAACAACAGTAAACTCAAAGAGTATCCTTGGAATAAGTCACGATGAATTGAGATTCGTCTGTTGCCTTGAGATTGTATATTATGTCGTGTATTATATTACATCGACTTTGTATATTAGTAATATATTTATAAGCCATTTATTTGGTAATAAATCCAAGGCTTTCTCGTAATCAACATAGGCAGTAAAAAGATTGATTTTTTGATATATGCCTGATTAGAGATGACTAGAGTCGATAATAAGTTGTTCTTTGCAGCTCATGTCACCCTTAGGCATCATTTTTATTGAGATCCTATAATAGTGTTTCGTGCACAATGTGTATAGATACATTGGGCTAAACAGGACGTGACCAATTTGTACAATCTTAAAAGACAAGTGATTGGGCGGTACTTGGATGGATCTTGATTGTTGATTTGATCCTTCACAATTAAATAAGTTGCTCGCTGAATAAAAAATGTTATCTCATGCTAATGAGAAATAACATGATTAATTAGTAGTGTGATGTGCAAGATGCAAATATTTGATCCCGAACAAATTTTGAATTTGGGAAAATTATATAATTATGTGGACATGGACATTCCGAATGATATCATTACTAACCACCACGGTGTGGTGACCTTAAAAAATAATAATAAACACTATCAAATTTAATGTTAGTATTTGACTTTTTTTAGTTTGAACTTTACATGTTAGTTGAAGGAAATATTAAAACTCGGGCAACATTGCAACTGAGAACTGTAAGTTGCCTACATTTAGCATGTAAGTCAGCCTTAACAATGGTATTGGCAAATAAAGTGATCTTCCTAAAATTGGTCATTAAGTTTAACTTTTAACCATTTTTATTTGCAGTTTGGAATTTTATTTAAAAATTACATAATACTATAATTTGTATGGTAAAGCATGGTATAACTCTTACATTTTCATGTTGTTGAATAGGACTACAGAAAGAATAGCCTTTGGAATATTTTGTAATGGTAAAGGTCATCCTTCTTAACGTTTCGTCTTCAACTTTGGCAGACATTACCAAAAATAATGTCGAAGCAGACGTAATCCGCTGTCCACCAGTCGACCACTAAACTTCTTTGAACTTCTTCGTTATTTGTAGCCATCGTCTGCCCCCGGCATTCTGTCAAGTTACTCAAATCGATATCGGTTGATTATGGGTACAGTTTTTGTGTTTTATAGTGTTGAGAGATACATCCTGTTAAGATGCGGACTTAGTTCTATATTAGTAAAGTTAATCGAGTGTTTTAAATTTCGATAGTGCCTCTAAGTAAACATCTATAGATATTAGTGTGATGTTTTATTAGACACCTGTTTTTACGAATAAAATTCGGTGGTTGTCTTTGATAGTGTGTTTCGCAAGGGATGATCTTTCGTAGTGAACTAGATGACAGTTCCTCTTGTGTTCATGTTGTAAATACACGTTTGACCGTACACAAGAGAAACAGTCATCTCTGCAAAAAAAACTAAAAACCCAAGTGATTAGTGGAACATCACACTGCTATCCCCACATGTTCGGTAATGTCGAAACTAGAAAACAACCCAGTAATTTTAATCGTTAAGGAGATGATCTACATCTAAATAGGATGTGGCTTAACACTACCAAATTCCAAATGTCTCTAGAGGTCCACCGAAAATTCCCATATCTGTTCGGACCAACCCCCAGGGTACACGGAGGCTACAAATAACATCGATTATCGGGTTATTGACCCTCTTGCACAGTTGTAGAAGAAACGTCAGGAAGAAACAATTTTAGATCAAGTCCTGCAGTAAAACCCGAATACAATGTACTATGTACTATTATCACTACACTTTACTATTTCGAAGTTTATACAACATGGTATACTACTTTATGTATACAAAATTAAACAGCTGGTCAGTGACGTGCACTGAAAATTGTAGGAAACATCACATAGACGGGATTTTGGTTTCAGTACTAGAATGCCATGGTACATAAGAGCATTGAATGTCGTCGTTCCTTTCTCTTATGTACTCTGGTAGCAATTAAATCAGTTATAAATAAGCCCTACTAATAACATCGAATATTTTGTGCGTTTGGATCATCTTTGAACATGTAATTTTAGAATATGAGTTACGCATAAAAATACTTAATGAACCAAAAATAACGAGAAAAAGTCGTTTGGGTTAATGCACTCCTCTGTTAGGGTTTAACGAGAAACAAAATAAAATAAACAAAAAAAAATTAAAAATATTTATTTTAAAATTTGTAAATAAAAATAATATAACACTGAATGTAGAGAAATATATACAATTAAAAATAAATTACAAATATTGCATGGAATTTAAGTACCTATAAAGTTAACAGAAAAACGATAGAATAGTGTTTAAGATTAGAATTAAAAAACAAATTCTACATATTGAAGTAGCTTTTTCTGTAATAGGTGCCAACTTCAGTCTAGGAATTTTTATTTTATCACACTCTTTCACAAAGCTGTCGTAAAATAGCTGAATTAAAATATGATGGTATTAAAAACCACATTTTTGTATCAATATGAATTTTATATCCATAGAATTTCATTGACAATTTGATTTTCTTCTTCTATATAAATATATTTTTAAAAATGGCCAAAATTGGAATTTTTATCGTAAATAAGGTATGTTATATTGAAATTATAGAGTTTTTTAAAATAGAATAGTATTTTAAAAAACTCTACAACCCTACCTCGGTTTGAAAAGACTTTCTTATAGTTTTTTTACCTTAAAATGAGATAGGGGCTTAGCTGAACATTAACATATCAAATATGTCACTTCTCACTGATTATCAATCAGGAAAATCTTCTTTTATTCTTCAAACTTGCATTAAAATTTGCAATAGTATCTACTTTAATGAATTCAATACAACATACCTTTAAAAAAATAAGTATGTAAAGGGAGGGTTTAAAAGGAAACTGCAGCTTGTACCAAGCATACCTTTAAATCCTTAGCTGAATGAGAAATATCTACAACAGAGTCGACCATTTCCTGAACAGCATTCACAGAAGGGAATTGCATCGCAGCTTGTTTAGTTTTATTTACACTGGTCGCTAAAGCATCTGAAAGAGCATTGGCATAACTTAACGATCTATCCTTTATATCTCGGCACGTGATATTTCGATGCACCGTATCACCTATTAGGACTAATTTGTGAGCACTGAGGACCACAAACTTGCCGTGAGCCAAAAATATTTTCGGCGGTTGGTTATGTTCCACTGTATTCAAAAATGCGTCTATGGCATGTGTCAAATTGGTGTGATGTGTAACCACCTGCGTTGCGTAAAATGCCAAGAGCTGTTTATCGTCAGGATCTAAGCCCGCTGTCTTATGGTCAACGTCGAAAGCTACATCATCGGCATGTTTCACACAATTGTCGAAGTCTTTCTGTAAGTTCTTTGGTAAGGTTTTCATTATATCTGCGTGATTTTTGTTAATGTTTTCTTTTGAATCTAAGCTTACATAATCATATTCTTCGTTCCATTCGTTCGAAGATTCCTTTTTGAACAGCAATGTACCATTGCCCTGAATGAACGACGCTATCTGTCGAATATCTTCCGTTAATGCACGCGAGCAGGCAACTAGTTGTTCTAATTCGTCTGGTTTCTTCACGCACTCTTCATCAAGCGGCCTAGAAAGAATGTCTAGAGACCAGTTATGTCTATTAAGTTTTTCTGAAACTTCTTGTACCAGGGTATTTGCTTTCCTGATTGCTAAAACTAAGGGGGATAATTTGCCAGCCAAATTTTTATCGGAAGCCCTAGCTGCGTTTCCCAACGTCCCTTCTCCAAACTCCGCCAAATCTTGGAGAGACGTACGTAACCGGGTCGCTGACAATTTGATTTCCATTAAATTTGTTTCTAACTTGTCTTTCGTCCTCCACTGAGGACCGACAAATCCTAATAACTTTGATATTGCACTGGTGGTGTCAGTCTGTAATCTCTCCAAATTTTCAAGTGCTGAATTTAGCTCCAAAGGCAACTCTTTTGTAACATGTGTGGGTACATCGTAATTTGAAGTGGATTGGAGAACTAATTGGGGGCCTCTGTTGTAAGGTTTCGGGACGTCGTAGTCAGGCATATTGGCTAAACTGCTACGGTTTGACGAACTAAGTGAATCCGCTGTTAGCGAACTAGCTGAACTAGAGGGTGTTAATTGGTTCTGAATACCTGAAAAAAAATGATAAAATAAATAAAAGTGTTACCTATATTTAATAATCAAAATGTGTATTTTTAAATGAACACCATTAATGAATGTTTTTGGTATTTTATACACTCATGGACAAAAATATCGAATATTTTGAAATTTTCTAATTTTTATTTTTTCAAAATAAATTCTGGTCATTCAAGTCGGTTATTGTGAAATAGATTTTATTTTAACAACGTTTAATGAATAATTTTAATCAATTACTATTAAACTGGGAATAAGCCACAATTAAAGATAAAAATACGTTTATTGACGTTTCAATTTCCACTTCGGAAATCGTTCTCAAAATACAAACAGTAAATTAAACAAGTTTTGTTTTTTGTTACATAGTGAAAAATTCTTCTAATAATTTAATTTTATCTGACTCATTTATATTGACAATTCAGACATACATTATGCATTTTAAAGTAGACGACTTTAAAATGATATTGCCAATATTGTTGAGTTGCGCTCCTGGGACGACTTTACTTATAAGATAGTTCATTCGATTACATGAAATCAACTTTAACTTGAGAATATCCGTCAAAAAAAATCATAGCATGTAATTCGTCTTTAAAAAGACAAACACATGATATGATGACAGTAAAATTCTCCTGTTAGTGATTCCATAGTAAATTATGAGGGAAAAACCAGGAAAAAAAAACCTCATAATACTATTCCGACATTGTAAGTATTTGTTCGTGAATTTAGTTTACCTTCCACAGACATCAAAATTCTGATTTTATATGGTACGTTATTTAAAAAATATAAATGATGTATCCTCTATATGTTACTGACTTACTAATACTGGTATTTTCTTATTAATAACTTCCTCTTTCAATATTGGTAACCAGATCCTACTACATTCTGCCGAGGAATTTGCGACACAATTGGCCTCATTTAGCATAATTAGAGCCGCTTCTTTGATTTTTCTTTTTTTACCATCCGTTTCTTTTAGGACTACATTTGAATTATTCCATTGAACCCTATGTTCATTATCCCATGCGTGTTTACAGATTTGAGATCTATCAAATTCTTTATTTTTAATATAAGATTGATGTTCACTTATTCTAACATTTAATGGCCTTGATGATTCACCTAAATAAAACTGATCGCATTCACAAGGTATTTTATAAATGCAATTCTTTGTCCTTTCTTGTTCATTGTTAGGTTTGGTTTTGGACAAAATAGATCTCAACGTGTTTGTTGTTTTGAATGTTGTTGAAATGTTGAATTTATTTCCTATCCTTTTAAGTTTTTCTGATAATCCTTTTATGTACGGTATTGTTATTTTTCTCATATTATTCCTTGTGTATGCTGTAGGATCTCGTTCTAAGTTGTTCTGGTCTATTCGATCGATTGTTGAAAATTCCTTATTTATAAACGATAAAGGATAATCATTTTTTAATAAAACAGATGTTAACAAATGTTTCTCCTCCGAGAACGAATTTTCGTTAGAACAAGTAATTTTGGCTCTATCATATAAGGATTTAATTATTCCCTTTTTTACATTAATATTGTGATTTGATTTGAAATTTAAATATCTATTGGTGTGTGTTGGTTTTCTATACACCTGAGTCTCATATCCAGTATCGTTCTTAGAGATTAATACTTACAATGTCGGGATAGTATTATGAGTTTTTTTTTCCTGGTTTTTCCCTCATAATTTACTATGGAATCACTAACAGAAGAATTTTACTGTCATCATATCATGTGTTTGTCTTTTTAAAGACGAATTACATGCTATGATTTTTTTCTGACGGATATTCTCAAGTTAAAGTTGATTTCATGTAATCGAATGAACTATCTTATAAGTAAAGTCGTCCCAGGAGCGCAACTCAACAATATTGGCAATATCATTTTAAAGTCGTCTACTTTAAAATGCATAATGTATGTCCGATTTCCGAAGTGGAAATTGAATCGTCAATAAACGTATTTTTATCTTTAATTGTGGCTTATTCCCAGTTTAATAGTAATTAATTTACAATGCCACAAGAAAATAACTTCAGAACAAGAATAATTTTAAGTTTTAATAGGATAAAATTGCGAAAAAAATAAATGCTTAATATTGGGTAAATAAAGTTATTTTACTTTAAACTTAAGCGCTAATTTAAATTGCTTAAACAAGTCTTTTTAACTAAAAAAAGTGCATGATCAGTAAGGAGTAGTCTCCATCTAGCTTGCATCCTTCTCAGGTATGCTTACAAGTAAATTTTGTTCATATTCTTGGGAAATTGCATTCCACTTATCCTGTGCAGCAAGCCGAAGCTGCTCTATAGTATTTGGAATGGTATTTCTTTGTCGTATGCGGCGTTTTATGTGACCCCGCATGTGTTCTATTGGATTTAAATCCGGGCTAAACAGTGGCCAATCCAATCTTAGAATTTGAACCTCGCTGCCATAGTGAGATAATTACTCACTATGGCAGCGGCATGTGATCGAGAATTATCGTGCATTAACATGAATCTTTCATATCCGATGTTACCAATATATGGCAAAACATGATCTTCCAGGATGTTTTAAACGTAAGAGTCATCCATCCTATCACTTCCACAAGTGCGGTGCGTACCTCCCAACTAATACCTTTCCAAATAATTATGCCCCCACTTCCAAAACTAACGGTCTGAGTGAGATTGCAGATGGCGAATTGTTCTCCAACCATCTAGCTCCCATAATAGGATTCTGGTCTCATCAGTGAAAAGAACATTTTTCCAGTTGTCAATATTCCTCTGAATATGTGTTCTTGCAAATTCTAAACGACGAGCTTTATGATTTTAGAGAAGACATGGAATAAGAACCAAAAAACGGTCATCAAGTGCGGCTGCGCATCTTGGGCGTCCTTGAGCAGGCCTTCGTACGAAATTTCCTGTTTCAAGGTACCTTTTTAAAGTATTCGAAATTAGATTGACTTCTCCTGAGACGTCGTGAGATATCTCTTTGTGCATATACTTCCTCGTACAAAATTACCATCTGTGCGACTTTGGCTTCAGTATGGAATTGGTGGCATACTTGTTTTAAACCTTGTTAAATCAAAAGAATCTTATATACTAAAACGCTAAGCCCTTTTCTTGTCCACCACTTTACTCAAAAACCATATTAGTTAATTAAAATATTTTTTCGGAATATTATTAGTATTACGTATGAGATTATTCATATTGCCAAGATATACTTTTGGTACAAAAATTTACTTCCGGTTTTGAGATGACCGGAAGTTAAAATTTACTTTAAGTTTTAGACCCCACAATGTATATACCTATGATCGAAAGGTCTCGTCGAGACGAATCTAAATATGTTCTTCCGGTTGCGATCCGACACCGGAAGTGACCCGAAACGCGCATAAAACGTCAAGATAGAGCAAATCTGACACCGGATTCGTGATCAGCATGCAAAATTAACTGTTAAATGATATCCATGTCGACATTTGATGAACTAAAAATTGCATTTCGGTTTTGAGGTCGACTTCCGGTTTCGTTTTTATTAAAAAGTAAAAAGTAAAAGTTTACATAACTCCCGGTGCCAAGCAAAAGTTTTCAGAAAATGGAGACATTGTAACAAAAAACATTGTTTTCGACGAAATATTTCGTGATATTTAATACACTTTTTACTTGCATTATTATTGATGAATGTTATGTATATTCTTGCTTATATTGTTTGTATTGATCTCTTATAATTTTTCTCGCAAAATAAAAATTTCATTTAAAAAACTCGATGTCGAGTTGGTCCGCTAGTATTTAACTAAACTCCATAAATTAAACTAAAAATAACCGAATTAGTATGATTTTTCCTTTACGTGAAGAAGGTTTTTTATAATAAAATGTACGAATGACACTAAATGCTGAATAAACGTCAAAATAAAGGTCAAAATATTTCAAACCAGTTGAGTACATCAGCCTACAATATGTGTGTCATCAGTAGACTTCGGCAAATATGCATATTGCATATTTTGCATATTGTGCATATTTTATGCAAATATTTCATATTTTGGCATATTTGTATAAAAGTTTGCATAAAGTGCATAAAAGTTCAGATTTTTATACTGTATTTGAAAATTTTTAAACATACCAATTTATTTCAATTCTTGTATAAAATTTTGTAGTCATTTTAATCAAGAAATGATCTAAGTACGTAATCTCTACAGGTACAAAACATTTACAATTTCAAAGAAGATCAATTTAAGTAGCCCTCAACATTCTTAGAAAGTCTCGGTCACTGAGGCATTCAGTTATTGGATAATCGCTAAGGGTTCGCTCATTTGCATTTTATGATCTAATCCCCAAATCTATCTACAATTTATTGTATCTTAACAGCAGGTAAACGGCTAATAGTTTTGTTCCTAATTTAGGGATTTTCCAAAATCTCCCAGTTTATTGAATTAGGTACCTAAACATTTCTAATTTGATGCTCAGATTTGTATATCATTTTTGTTTTGATATTCAAAGCGTAAACACTCGTTGTGCGTAACAAAAAGGAAGATTGTGATTTTATAATGCCTAAAACAACCAGTTCTTCAACTTGGATTAAACCTTATAAAGAGCTGTCTATGGATATGGGAAAAATCTACTGTTCAGTCTGTGGCAAAATTGTAAGTATCTAATATTTTCTATTAAATATCTAATATTTCATACATACAGGGTGTTTCCAAATGACACTTAAAACGTTTGACTGTAGATACTTCTCGAAAAATTGAACAAAACGATTTAGTTATTGAGGGGTCAAACTTATTTACTTTTCGAGATACAGGGTGTTAAAATTAAAAAAAATTAAATTCTTTTAGTTAATAACAACAATAACTTTAAAACCAATAAACGTATTTACTTGAAATTTAGTACTCGTATGTTGTTTTTAAATGAAAAATAGCTTCCTTTAGTCAGAAAAATTTTTCCATGGTACAATACAATGGTGTGTATTTAGAAAAATTTTTCACCTTTACTTTTTTTTATGAAGTCAGCTATTCTAAAACACAATTATTTTTATTGTAATTGAA